CAGACTGGAGCTAGTTGGCTGACAGTAGACCTGTTTTACCAGAGACATGTAGCAATGGCTTGACCATGAGGCTTACTCAGAGGCCTTAGCCTCGAATTAGTCACCCAGACGCAGGGGCTGGGTAATAACGCCTCGAATAGCATAGATGGTTTGGCAGGAGTCGAGTGAAATACTTGAACAAGAGAGATACAGACGGATCCTACGAGGCAAGAGGGAAACTCTGATAAGACATAGGAAAGAAGGCCTGCTTTAAAATATGGCATATTCTGATCGAAATTCCCAGAACGACGGTTAATAGGGGTGAGAAAGCCAGCGTGAAGTGTGGAGAGTTCCCATGAGATCCGCTCAAAATGGCACACCATACCTCATTTAAATATTCAATTAAAATTGTGATAGTGAAGGCATGATAAGAGGATATAGGATTTGGGATTAGCCCAGGGCGGAAGGAGAGATACCGCGCTTGTTTAGCAGACAATTGTTCAATGAATCGGCTTCACTTGTCTCTTTGACGAGTTGTAGTGTGGTACCAGGACTGGCAAGACCCACTGACGATGCCGGCGAAACGTCTGGGAATGTACGACCTCCACGGTCCGACTCTGCAAATTGTTATGCATTCAATGGACTCAGGAATAGGCGTGTTCCTCTAAGTCTTCCTACCAATATGACCAAGTTGCGCAAATAAGGTCAAACTGCTTCTATACAATCATCTTCACTATATTGCACTACTTTCATCAGTTCAACTTATCTAAAATAATTCATGGCCTGCGTTTCTTTATCCACGTTTCTCGTAGAATTTAGACTTTCTTGTGTGCAAAATTCACTGGCTATCGTTCATTCATGGCCCCAAAACGGAAATACTTACGCTCTTTATACATCCTTCCTGACGGTGTACCTAACTTGGTTGCTGCTAATGCTCCTCTTAAGAGAATCTAGCCACTGATATTATTGCTCATTACGCGTGATTGCGTACAAAGAAATTGCCTGCAAAAATGGCTCGAAAACTCATCTAAAATTCACATTATACTATATCCAATTTGAGTAGGTGTCGAAGCTACTAGTAGATATTGAAAAAGCTTGGTTAGCCTTAAAATTCTCCTC